GACTCCTCTTTCAGTAGAATAATGCACCCACACTGCAAAAATTGTTTAGGAATGGGGAACATGACAGAGTTCAAGGTGTTCCCTTGGCCTCAAAATTGCACAGATCTTAATCTGATGGTGCATCTATGGGACATGATGAAAGATCAAATCTGATCCATTGAGCTGTACCTCACCACTTCAACGACTTAAAAGATCTACTGCTAATGTCTTGGAGCCATATACACCAGGACACATTCAGAGGTCTTATGGCGTCCATGCCATGATGCATCAGAGTGATTTTTGGCAGCATGAGGGGGACTTGCATGATATTAGCCAGGTAGGTTTAATGTTACTGATCAGTGTATACTTTCCTGTGATAGGCATAGCTGAATGTCTTAACACTCTGGAATAAGTGAAAGTAAAATTATATCTTGTATATCTGGGCAGTATGCAAGAATTGAATGTATGATGTGAATGTGAAGAAGTTGGTTTTTTTAATGGGTTGGACTATAAGCACAGATGAGAGTTAAGAGTCAATAGATCCATGATTTGTATGAGTCATCTGTGGGCATAGATATGATCTGTGATCTGATTATAATTTGGGGAGCATCCACAGCTCAGACCTAGACTTTTCTAACATGTTGACACCATGAAGTGAGGGATCTGTGAATCTTATGGTTTGGTGTGTGGGCAGAGATGGGATATATTGTTTCAAAGTGTCAGGGAGAAGATCCCATATAAAAATCATGCAAACCAATGGGGATCCATTCCTCAGATCTGTAGTTTTGAAATGGGGCAGAACTAGGTAGGTAGGCATCCATTATTTTTATGCTTCATTTTGTAGCCAATAACTGAAGCATGGATGCTCCAGATAACATGGTTTGATGGGTTATTTTGAACAATCTGCTTGTCAATATCTCAACCATCAGCTGATTGTAAGGTAATTGACAAATAGGGTGGCTAAAGGAACTAAAACTGGGGTTTGCCTTCCCATAGCCAGCCTGCTTGTCAATGTCCTGCCAATCAGCTGTTCCTCGGGACATTGTGTTTTAAGGAAGATTTGACAAATATTTGTTGCTAAAATTTGGTGCTTCATCACCTTATCCATTTATCAACTTTGACTAATGATGAATCCAGATGGAGCACCTTTTTTCAATTCATCCCCACCTCTACTTATGGACCTCCTTCAGGGTGAACACCTGAAGAAACCTTGCCTGTGATTATCTAATGGGTCAGGCAGATGACATTGGGGAAACATACTTCAACAACGTGGGCCAAACTATGCAGAGCTTTGTATGTGAATATCAAAACCTTGAACCTGATCTGAGCCACAATGGGTAACCAGTGAAAGCATGCCAGAACTGGGGTGATATGGTAGAACGTGCTGATATCACCACCAGTGTGGCTGCCACATTCTGGACTTGCTGTAGTCTCAGGATCCCTTGAGGCTGATCCAGGACTTTTCATGGCAAGTTAAGTATTTAAGGAGTGGTTTTACTAGTGCCATCCTCTTTCTCAAATAAGCTTCCATAACTGAGTGGATATTTGAACCCAGGACTCCTGAATCCTAATATGTCATTCTATCCAGTACACCATGCTGTGTACCTTAATGTCATATCTTGCAATTTTTATGGTTTGGTCCATAAAAGGAGAGATAGAGGGGATACATTTAAGATGGTTTTGGGAGGAAACACATGCTGGTCCATGAGAATCTGTGGCTTGAATCTATGTTCTTAGGCTGTAACAATGTCATGTAGTGAGAAATCCATGATTTTAATGCAGTTCCACGAGGATTGGTGCCTTGGATCTATGTTTCTGCGTCAAGTGCCACATCCCCCAGTTTTCTGTGTTTGAATGTGTGTACAGTGGTGCCTCGATTTACGAACATAATTTGTTCCAGAAGATGGACGTAACTTGAAATGGTCATAAGTCGAACCACCATTTCCAATAGGAATGCATTGAAATGCAATTAATCCATTCCAGCCAAAGGAAAAAACAAACAAAACAAAATTAAAAAAATTAATGCAAGACCCATTGGAAATGCAATTAATCCCTTCTGGCCAAAGGGGGGGGGGAAGAAAAGCAATCAAGCATGCAAGACCCATTGGAAATGAACAGAAAACAAAGGAAAAACAAAGGGAGAACATCGGAAATGCAAAGAAAACAAACTGAGCAGGTCACAAATCCAAAGAAAACAAAGGGAGCAGGTTGCAAATGCAAAGAAAACAAAGAGAGCGGGTCGGAAATTGAAAGAAAACAGGGAGCAGGTCAGAAATGCAAAGAAAACAAAGGGAGCAGGTTGGAAATGGAAAGAAAACAAAGGGTGCAGGTCAGAAATGGAAAGAAAACAAAAGGAGCAGGTCGGAAATGCAAAGAAAACAAACGGAGCAGGTTGGAAATGCAAAGAAAACAAAGCAAAAAGCAAGGGATGCATGCAAGACCCATTGGAAATGGGGGCGACACCAAAATACAAACAAATCCCCCAAGACACATCGGTAATGGGGAAAAACACTCCCAAAAGCAACCAACCCCCCAAGACTCATCGGAAATTGTAAAAAATATTCCAAAAAGCAACCAAACCTCCCAAGACCCATTGGAAATGGGGGAAAAAACCAAAAAACAAACAAACCCACCAAGACCCATCACAGCACAGAAACATAACCCCCCAGCCCAAAACCACGCTGCAAAACCCACCCAGAATAGTTTTTTAAAAGCAGAAAACAGCATCTTACCTTACCAGGCAGCCTCTTCCGATCGCACACTCTCTAACTGCTGGAGCGAAAGAGCTACAAAGAAGCAGCCTCTTCACCACCAATGGTTAGCAATTTGAATTTCCTGTCTTTTTTCCCTATCTTTTTCTGTTTGTAACTGGAAGCTCTGGTCTCAAGTCGAAGCAAAATTTTGCAGCCAGAGATGGTCGTAACTTGAAATTGTCATGTTGGGACGTTCGTAAGCAAAGAAAACAAACGGAGCAGGTTGGAAATGCAAAGAAAACAAAGCAAAAAGCAAGGGATGCATGCAAGACCCATTGGAAATGGGGGCGACACCAAAATACAAACAAATCCCCCAAGACACATCGGTAATGGGGAAAAACACTCCCAAAAGCAACCAACCCCCCAAGACTCATCGGAAATTGTAAAAAATATTCCAAAAAGCAACCAAACCTCCCAAGACCCATTGGAAATGGGGGAAAAAACCAAAAAACAAACAAACCCACCAAGACCCATCACAGCACAGAAACATAACCCCCCAGCCCAAAACCACGCTGCAAAACCCACCCAGAATAGTTTTTTAAAAGCAGAAAACAGCATCTTACCTTACCAGGCAGCCTCTTCCGATCGCACACTCTCTAACTGCTGGAGCGAAAGAGCTACAAAGAAGCAGCCTCTTCACCACCAATGGTTAGCAATTTGAATTTCCTGTCTTTTTTCCCTATCTTTTTCTGTTTGTAACTGGAAGCTCTGGTCTCAAGTCGAAGCAAAATTTTGCAGCCAGAGATGGTCGTAACTTGAAATTGTCATGTTGGGACGTTCGTAAGTTGATGCACCATTGTATTTGAAAGTGGGAGTCCTGGACAGAATAGGGATTCTGTTGGTGTTGCTCAACAGTCTCTCTTCCTCAGGTAGCTGAGCTGGTCTTGGAGGTCGTGTTGGAGTCTCTTGGACTTGTTGTGCTGGGGGACTTCAACATCCATGCTGAAGCAACTTGGTCAGGTGTGACGCAGAATTTTATATCGTTGTGGTGTTTACCCCGTGGCCCCTGCTTGTTTCACCAAACACAGAGCTCACGAAGGTATCCCAACATGCCCTTTGACACGCTGCCACCGGTTGATCTCTTTATCAACTTATATTTCTTATAAAAGACTAAGGTCCATCTAGTACTGAACTTTTAAAGAGAAACAGGTTTATTGATTACACGTTCTTTCAGGAATAATTCTTAAGCATATTCTTAAAGTTACACAAAGCTTCAATATTTTACTTTAATCTCTTCAAATAATGAAGATGCTTTTTTTAATTTCATGAATCCAGCTTTTATTTCCTTCCAAGACTTGGGATAATTAAAATGTGGTGCATTTACAACCAGGATCTGCTTTTGAAGCCCCTGTGCTTTAGATCTGACAGGTTGGTCTCTTCTGGAAAAGGCAGGTGAAAAGAGTGATGGGAACAATATGAGAGAAATAATCTTAAAAGACAAAATAGTTTCTGTAGACCCAGAATATGGTCCTTTTGGCAGAGACCTTGGGATAAGTGTGTATTCTAGAAAAGCTTTTTGTTCACTCCTACTTGTTTGTACAGAAGGGTGTATCAAGAAGAAGCTTTTCATTTTCACTTTTGATTTCCCCAAGTTTATAAAGGTAGGCTCATTCGGAAATCTGTGAGTTGTGTGAGCAGCAGCAGCAGCAAAGCAGCACAGGACAGCGCTGAATTGAAAAGGAAGTCACAACACTGAAGAGAAAGGAGCAACCACAGTAAGAGCAAATAGCGTTGCTTATTAAATTTTCCTGCCACATCCTCATTTTAAAATGGGGGGGAAACTTGTTAATGCCCCCTTTTCTCAGCAAGCACGAGCTCAGCTCGACAACCTTCCCTCTCCCCCGTAAAGGGCTTAGGATAAGTAGAATAAGTTTTCTTTATTGTTGTTGTACATTTTAAAGTAGGTTTTGAAAGGTATTCGGAAGCAGTGCAACTTGGAGGTACTGTCCAGGCTTACAGTTTTGGGAAGGGGCTGGTGGATTGAGCTGAAAAGGATCGGAGGGAGGGTAGAGGAGGGAAGTGCCATTTGGTCCCGTTCCCCCAGGAAAGGGTTCTTCGCATCCCGATCATTTATCAATAAACCCTTTCCCCTGATGTCTGTTCCCCCCTGCCCGCCCCGGCTGGGAATCCGCAGCCATGATCCTGAGGCTGAGGGGAGGGTGCTTTGCCGGCAGTCTCTGGCTCAGCCTCTCTCCGCCTCTCCCTCTGGTCGCAGGAAAAGCCAGGGAGGCGCAGAGCAGTTCCCCGCCTCAGATCGCTGCCGGCCGCCCGTCCTTCTTCTCGCTCCTCCCCGCCTGCCTGCCAGCCTGGTCCCTTCCCTGAACTCTGTCGGAAGACGATGTTTATTTCCATCTCGCCCTCCCTTCTTCTAAAATTCCTGTTTAAATATGGCTGTCAAATGCTTGCTGCTGAGTCATTTCATTTCAGAGGATTTTAATAGTATTCCCTGGAAGGATATGTCCCCTCAGCTGCTGGGCCCGAAATACTGTGGAAAAGAATTAGAAATATGCTAGGGAGGTGCTTGACCCCTCTTGAAGGGGAGCGATGGATCTGTTCTAAGAAAGACAAGGTCTTTTTTGCCCTGCTAAAAAGGGCCACCAAGGTTCCATGGATCGTAACTATAGGCTAGGGATGATTATTTTATGCATGATTATACCTGCTTTATTTTATTTATTATGTGTTGTCTCATTATTTGTAATTAATTCTCTATCGAAATGAAAAAATATTTGGAGAACAAACCAACCCATCAACCACTATCTACTTATCTTGAGTGTAATTTGCCAGGCACAGCCCCCCTCCTAGGAGATAAGCCTGGATATCGTATTCTGTTGTGACACAGAAAAATTATAAACAATTCTGGATTTCCACAACAGGCAATGGGAGGTTCCTCAAGCAAACCTGCAGAAGAGCCCGTCAGAGGTGAGTGAAGGAGAGGATCAACGTCTCTTCTCCAAGGAGAAGGGATGAACTGCAGCTGCCTGGACTGCCTGGTGTTTCCTCCTTGCTCCTGCTTTCTCTTTCTCCGCACTATTTTTACCCAGACCTCCTACTCGGAAAGGATGACCAAATAAGGGAGCAGAGCAGCAGGATCCCTTTTCTCTTGCTTGTAGACTTGCTTTCAGCCTCAAGCAGAGGCAAAAACAAGCTGAAAGGGAAGGATCTCTTTTGCTTTCAATATCTGTCTCCCTTTGTGACTGGCATTCTCCCCCTCCCTTGTATTCACATACAAGAGATCAAATAATGACATGAATGAATAGTTAACACTATCAGTTTCTTGTTTTTTTTAAGAAACTACAGTATCTTTTTCAGATGTTACTGTTTTTAACATGGTATTCTTTTTAACCCTCGGTTTTACGCATCAGTGCCAACTGTGAACTGGGTTGACATTTTGGTGAGAGAATACCTACGTCGCCAGATACGTGAAACAACATCACAGGGTGCGTTTTAAAAGCAAAATTGAAAGTAGCATGGAATTGCCCTGTTGGGGCCCCACATTGCGGCCGAAGTCACCTGCAAGGTCCTCCCTGTGGCTCTCTTCCTCTGCTTTTCTTGTTTTCACGGTTATGGGGAGTGTTAATCTGCTCTCTGCTGTGGTTTTGGAGATTCCTGACCACTAGGAGCAAGGGAGACACAGCAGCACTACGTTCTTCCACCCCATGGCTGTGTCTCTCATCGCCCCACCCAGTCTTTTACTGACTCGAACACAGCATTTTTCCTGTGTCCCTGACCTTTACCTCTGAGCTACTCTGCATGCTGAGAAAGTAGTCCAAAGTCCTCAGCATGCCTGGGAGGGTGTGCCTGTTGAGAACGTTCCCTTTGCATATAAGTTAGGCACATCTGGATTTACACTTTCTATAGAGCCAGATGACAACCACATATTGAAACTATAGGCCCTCTCCTATTTCTTTCCCTTTCTTAATTGTCAAGTGTGACTCATTTTAGATTAGGATGCCTAATCTAAAATGAGTCACACTTGACAATTAAGAAAGGGAAAGAAATTGGAGAGGGCCTACAGTTTGAGTAGGTGGTTTTCATCTGGCTCTATAGATAAATCCAGATGTGCCTAAAATGCAGTGGCCATGGTGTCAGCCATTAACTAATCACTTTTTCTGCAAGTTTCAAAAAGAAAGGTCTCCTATTAGATTGCTAGTGTCAGTAGGCAATGTCATTAGACGTTGTCTAGAGGGGCGGGGTAAAAATTGAATAAATAAATAAATAAAATTATTGTTGGCAGCATGTGGTTGCCAGAAGGACCACAGTCTTCCTTACAGCGTTTGCAATGAAATTAATTACAGTGGTGCCCCACATAGCGACGATAATCTGTGCAGCAAAAATCGTCGCTATACAGATTCGTCGCTATGCGAAATAAAAAAGCCCATAGGAATGCATTAAACCCGTTTAATGCCTTCGTATGGGCAAAAAAACTCACCTTTATGCGAAAATCCTCCATGTGGCCACCAGTTTCGCTGGCTGGTAAGCGAGGAATCTGGGTCAAAACACAGCAGGCGCCCATTTTGCCATCTTC